CAGCCAAAGCAGTAATCAGAGGTCAATTTATAGCAAAAAGCAAACACATCAAAAGACAGGAAAAACAGACGATTGACTCTCTAACCCAATATCTCCAGCAAATGGAAAAAGAACAGCAGGAAAACCCCCGATACCCTTTAAAGACTTTAAATAACACAAATTATTTCTCTGCCACTTTTGAAATGTATATAACTCCTTTTAGGGGACTCGACAAGCTTCCTGCCAGTTTTACAACCTAAACTTGTCTCCCCTACAACCTGGAACATCACCTTTGAACGTTATCATTGAGAAAGACAATGACTCGCTTGCCCATGACCTGTGGAGGCTCAGAACCCAAGTGCTCAAGCACCTTCCTATCCATTCTGAAACCTCCTCTCTTAGAACTAGATGAAAGCAGTGAGCACACAGTGACTACTCCAATTACTAGAGAAATATAAGATATATTTTGATGCAAAAATACTGGAGGGTCAGTTCTGACTCATGGTGACCCCGTGTGTGCAAAACAGGCTAGAAGCAGACCACCCGGCCCTTCTGAGGCACTGCTGGGGATTCTGAACCATCCTCTCTCAGCTAATGATTAAGTGTGTAACTGTTCCCACCATCCTAAGTCATCTTACTTTATGTCTAATTATGTTGTTGTTGTTGTTGTTACATGCTGTCAAGTCACTTGTAACTCATAGTGACCCTACATACAACAGCTCTGAACCCTGCTCTATCCTGAGCCAAACTTACTGTCTCCAACACCTACCCCCATTACCCCAGTCACTGAGTCAATCCATCTCATCAAGGGTCTTCCCCTCCTGCACTGTCCTTCCACTCTCCCAAGCGTAATATCCATCTCCAAGGACTAGTTCCTCCTTGCAACATGCCCAAAGTATGTCAGACGAAGCCTCAGAATCCTAGCCTCCAAGGAGCAGCCTGATTTCACCCTCTCCAGGATGAACTTGTTTGTTCTCCTAGCAGTCCATGGTATATTCAATATTCTTCTCCAGCACCACAGCTCAAAGGCATCAGTTCTCCTTCTACCATCCCTAGTCATTTTCCAGCTCTCTGATGCACAGCAAATAATTGCAAAGAAAATGGCCTGGATCAGGCACTCTTTAGACTCCAAACTGACATCGCTGCTCTTCAGTACTCTGATGATGTCTCTGACAGCGGACTTTTCTAATGCATTCATCTTTTGATTTCCTGGCTGCTGGTACCAAGAGTGTTGATTGTGGAGTCAAGCAAATTAAAAGCTGTGAACAATTTCAATCTCTTTACCATCCACAATGATGCTGTTTTGTAAAATTAGTGTAGACAGCATGGGGATGGTCAAATTTGACTTCTACTAACTCCACAAAGGGGAACTGGCCTGACCAACAACATTCACAGCACAAAACTAATTCCTATATGGCCAGACATGTTCTCCCATGCTCCAGCACCTACTAACTCCCAACACCAAGCTTGCTGTACTGGGTCTATAATAATAATAATAATAATCTATTATAGTGACCACACAGACTTTAGGAAGATGTCATAAGTGGCAAGAGTAAGGGAATATTGTGACACTGACCCAAGCCATGAGGTCAAAGGTCAAATGGCCTGTGTCCACATGTGAGAAACTGTCAGGACTGTATCCTGCTGTCATCCTGAGTGGTAGCCTGTTAACTTCACTAATAAACCCCACAAACGTGACTACGGTTCTGTGAGGTCTGTGTGGTCACGGCAGTGGATTTCAGACCCAGGAGAGCAGTAGGTTTGGTGTTGGAATTGGAAGTAGGTGCAGCAGCGTCGGGGGCCATGTCCAAGTTTACAGGAATCAGTTTTGTACTGTGGACGTTGTTGATGGGGACAGTTCCCCTTTCTGGAATTAGCAGAGGTCAGATTCAGCTGTCCCCACGCTGCCTACAATTTTTTTCTTTTTTTAGAAAAATTCCATTTTATCATATCAGATAAAAACATGAACACTTCACAAATTTGTGTGTCATCGTTGCACAGGGGCCATGCCAATCTTCTCTGTATCACTCCAGTTTTCATATATTTGCTGCCACAGTGAGCAGGCCTAAACTCTTTTTACAAGTTTATCTTTTTAATTTTTTTTGTTTTTTCAATTTTTTTTTTTAAATTATTATTTGTGTGTACCGTCAAATCAGATCTGACAGGTACAGGAGGAGATTGTCCCTCCTTCTCCAGCAGAGCATCTGGTGGATTTGAACTGCCTACCTCTGGGATTGCAGTGCAGCTTCTTGCCACTAGGCCACCAGAACTCCCTTTTACAAGTTTATCTTAAAACATGTATCATATGAGTTATGTTTCTACTAGTCAGCTGCTGTTTAAACGGATTCATTTATTAGTAGACTCCAACTCATAGTAGACCTGGGACAGCGTAGAACAGCACTATACAGTTTCCGTGGCTGCATTGTTTACGAGAGTAGATTGCGAGGTCTTCTGTAGGTCTTTTTAAAAGAAGTGAATGTTAAGTTTAAACTGTTAACCTTTTGCCTGGCAGCTCAATACTTCACCACTGCACCACCAGTGTTCCTTGAGTCACATGACCACAAAAAGAGCCACATCCCCTCAGTCCTTCCTCACGGTCCCCTTCGTGGACTCTGTGATGGGCCACTTGCTGGGTTGATATTTATCCAGTCAAAAAACGCTGCTTTCTCTTCTGCTTTTGTAGAAAGATTTTCTGGGTTAAAAACAAGAGGTTTCAGGGGCACAATTTTCATCCTCGTGCAGGAGACCTGACATTCATTCCCAGCCGGTGTACTTGATGTGTGGCCGTGACCCATCTGTCTGTGGAGGCTTGTGTTTCAAAGATGCTGAACAGATTAAAGCTGAGCTTCTAGACTCAGAGACTAAAGACCTGGTGATTGGCTCCTAAAAACCCTCCGGTGACAACTGTGGGTCATGTGCCTCCAGTCTCACTCTACTTAGAGTTGGCCTGAGGCCACCACCACCACCAGCAGCCAGCCCCCCTGGGCACCTGGCCTGTCTCCCCTCACCCATTCCTTCTAGACCTTTCTCCCAGTCTTGGAAGATGGAAGCACTCAGACTGTGTCCTCACTGGCCACGCACAGAGAGAAATGTGGCCTTTTTTTCCCCCTTATTCTATCATTTTACTTTCCTTACAATCACAGGAGGAAATCAAAGATTCTTCTTATCCAAGTCTCAACAGCAGGTAAATGTCAGCTCCAGTTTTTCAGCCCACACCTGATTCTTGAGCCTGGAACCTTCTCTACCCTCCTATGGCAATCCACACAGGCCGAAAGCCTCAGTTTGTCAAGGCCAGCAGAATTGGGTCCCATCCATGCCTCACATGACTTCAGATGACGGCCACCATGGACCTGGTCCATTATAAATTTTATTATCATTATAGTTTCAAGAGTTGCAAAATTACATCCACTGGCCTGGATCAGACATGCCAGTCTGTTTCTGGTGTTATTGCTGGTTTTCCTTTGTCCTCAGACCTTCTCTTTGCTGTGTTGAGTACTTCGCCCAGGAACTTTCTTCCTCACCCTCCCTGGACCAAATGCAACAGAGAAGGGCGAAATGTGGCCTTTTGACTAAGTCTTTTTGGGCTGTGAATTGGGGCAGCAGCTGGAAGAACAGCATTCTGGGGCTTTGGAATCTGCTGCTCCGTCCAGGGGGATCATGCCAGGAGGCCTCACACCTGGTAGTTAATCCCTCCTGGGCTGAGACTTAATCTCTTGTAGGAAGAGGATCTGTGTGCTGTAGGGGACACCTTGCTGTAGGGAACAGATCCCATGTGTGCTGAGGGAGGGGTGTGTGTGTGTGTGTGTGTGTGTGTGTGTGTGTGTGTGTGAATGTGATAAAGAAACACAGATGGCACGGTAGATTGCTGTTCTAATAGCTAGGAGGTTTATGTTTCCATCGCTGCTGTGCGGGAGTCTTGATTGTAAAGATTCGTGTTGTGAGGTGCCGTCCCTAACTCCCCCTCACAGCCACCTGCGTGCTCAGCGTGGGGACCCTCTGGGGCAGTCTGTTCTGCCCACCAGACAGCGGTGGGCTTTGCCTTTGCCTCTCACTAACAATAGAGGGTGAAACCAGGTTGCTCCTTGGAGGCCAGGATTTTGAGGTTCCATCTCACATACTTTGGGCATGTCGCCTGGAGGGGCCAGTCCTTGGAGAAGGACCTCATGCTTGAAAGTTGAAGGAGAGGAAGACTCCGATGAGATGGATTGACTCAGTGACTGTGGCTGTGGGGTCAATGACACCCAACAACATCCTCAGTAGGAACCAAGAAAACCAATTCTTTTGTTTGGATCCACAATCAATACTCACGGTCACAGCAGTCAGGAAATCAAAGGGTTCAATATTCATGGTAGCAGCAGACAAGAGATCGAAGGACCTCTTCAAAATGCTAAAGAGCAAGGATGTAGATTTAAAGACGAAGGTGCATCTGATCCAAGCCGTAGTATTTTCCATGAACCCATATGCATCCAAAGTTGAACAATGAATACGGAAGATGAAAAAACTGATGCTTTGAATTGAGGTTTTAGCAGATGTTGATTATACTGCCAACCCCGCCACCCCGAAACAAATGTTAGAAGAGATGCAGCCAGGGTCCTCCTCAGAGGTGAGGTGAGACTTCTTCTATTGTGCTTTGAGCACGATAGAAGGGGCCCATCCTACGAAACAGACATCATGAAATAGAGAAAAGAGGAAACCCATCAGTGACTGACACACAGTGGGACAGATGGACGGACGCACAGTGGGATGGACTGACACACAGTGAGATAGACCAACATACAACGGGATGGACTGACAGACAGTGGGATAGACTGATGCACAGTGGGACAGACTGACTCACAGTGGGATGGACTGACACACAGTGGGACCAACAGACACACAGTGGGACGGGCTGACACACAGTGGGATAGACTAACACACAATGGGATGGGCTGACAGATGGTGGGATAGCTTTTACACAGTAGGACAGACTGACACACAGTGGGATGGACTGACACACAATGGGATGGACCAACACACTACGGGATGGGCTGACAGAGAGTGGGATAGACTGATGCACAGTCGGACAGACTGATGCACAGTGGGACAGACTGACACACAGTGGGGCAGGTTGGCGCACAGTGGGATGGACTAACACACAATGGAATGGGCTGACAGATGGTGGGATAGCTGTTGCACAGTAGGACAGACTGACACACAGTGGGATGGATGGATGGATGGATAGATGGATCGATGGAAGAATGGATGGACTAACACACAGTGGGACGGGCTGACGCACAGTGGGACGGGCTGACGCACAGTGGGACGGGCTGACACACAATGGCCAGTCCTCGGAAAAAGCCGTCATGCTGGGAAAGCTCGGCCCCTGGAGGACACAGCAACTGTAGCACTGGGCTCGAGTGCGTCCGAGCTGATGAGGCTGGCACGGGCTGGGGCAGGGCTCAGCTCTGTCGTTCACAGGCTTGCAGTGAATCACAGTGGCCCCGTGGCCCCTGACGACGCCATCTGTAACTTCCCACCCCCCCACCTGTCAGTTTTCATACCGTGGCAGGTCTGGTGGGGGAGTGATACTGGCAGCTATGCAACTAGTATTTCACATACGAGCCGAGGCCATTCAGAAGACTAGGAAGAAAGGCCTGGTGCTCCGCTTTTCAGAACACTCGCCACAGGAAAATGAGTGTTTTCCTCTGACACAGATAAGGGGCCATCGGGGGGCTCAGGGACTGCCGTTTTAAAGGCCCCCCACACAGGTAAGCTGTGGTCTAGGACTTCCTGTCTGAGGCCTCCCACCCTCCCCAGGGCCCCAAGCACCTTCTCGAAGCACCACACGCTCGTAGGGTGGGTAGTGGCCCTGTTTGGTCAGCGCAGACAGGTCCTCCCGACTCTGGTGGGTGGTCTTCTTGGCTCCCCGGCGAAGACCCCGCAGCCGCCAGAACTCAGCGCGGGCGTTGGAGCCGGCGGCCGAGGCACCGGGCAGGGCCCCCACGGCCCTCTGGGCAGCCTCCAGACTGGCCAGCTGCTCTGCCCTGGGCAAGAAGGAGGACATTATAGGGTGCACAGTGGCAGCCCTCCCAAATGCCTACGATTCAGGTTCTGGAATCTCGCCACCAGTCTGTACAAGTGGGATTGAGTGAGAGATTCCATGATGGTGTCGGGGGAACCCGGACGTCCAGGGAGCCCACACCAGACCCTCAGCGATCTAGCACCACTGCCCCCCCCCTTTTTTTAAATGTGTGTACCATCAAATCAGATCTGACTGGTACAGGAGGAGATTGTCCCTCTTTCCCCGGCAGAGCATCTGATGGATTTGAACTGCATACCTCCGGGATTGCAGTGCAGCTTCTTGCCACTAGGCCACCAGAGCTCCCTCTAGCACTGCCCTTTTGACCTACAGTTCTGAACTTGCTCTAGGACCGAGCGCCCCTGGAGCTGCTGGTCGCCTTAGAGACCTGCCAATTGTCTGGTTGAGTGTTGATATCTGACCTGCCCCCGCCAGGGGTGAGTTTTGGTCAGGTCAGGAGGGTGACCTAGGGCCATAGCCTCAGAGATGCACCACTCTGTCAGACCTGTGGCCTTTTTCATGTTCTGAGCTTTGTTCCCATGGCCCCCCTGCCCAGGACCCCTCCGATGCCCTGGACTGACTAGATGCAGGGGCCTGGACACACGGGGCCTGGAGCAATGCTGGCCAAGCTAAGTGGACCCATGCACATGTTGATTTTGTCCTGTTCCGCTCAAAATGCCGTGTGACGTTAACGTGAGTGGATGTCCCCTCCTGTCAGCTGAAACTTGAACGAATGACTGAAGGGTTCAGGGTGCCAACCTCCCACCCAGCAAAAATCCACGTCTGCTTTGCTAACATCCATACTGCTCATGGGTCAACTTTCCTAACCTACAGGTTGGTAGTTCAAACCCCATCCCCAGCGGTGCCTTGGAAGAAAGGCCTGGCAATCTGGTTCTGAAACGTCACAGCCAATAGACTTCTACAGAGCAGCCAGTTCTACTCCACACACAAGGGTGGCATCAGAGGGCAGCTAGGTGTGCTAACATGTCACACTGACCAGTCCATTCTGGGCCCCTTCCTCCCTCCCCCAGGCGACCCTGTTAAGGCTGCTAAGTACTGCCCACTCCCTGTGGGGAAACTGAGGCTCTGAGTGGAGGATCCTCCCCAGGGGAGGGGCAGGGTGCTATCCACTGGCTCTGCTTGAGAGGGTTGGGGTGGAGGCACCTATTCTGGCTGGGAATGGTGGGGGCGGGGCGCACCTGCTCAGTTGGGAATGCTGGGGGCAGGGAAACCTGCCCTGTTGGGAATGGTTGGGGTGAGGGTGGAGCAGGGACACCTGCTCTGATGGGGAGTTTGGGGGGGGCAGGGATACCTGTGCTGTTGGGAATGGTGGGGAGGGGGCGGGACACACCTGCTCTGTTGGGAATGGTGGAGGCAGGGACACCTGTTCTGATGGGTGTTTGGGCGAGGGCGGGACACACCTGCTCTGGTTGGGAATGATGCCCCGCTCTTGTTCCCGGAGGTCCCGGCCCATGCGCACCGCCAGCCAGTGGCCCCCACGGGCGTGGTTCGGCCCAGGCCCTGGGTACAGCGTGTCGACCACGTGGAAGACATCCCCACGCGTGAAGCCCAGGCCAGACGGAGGGCTGGGCTCCATCTCAAAGTGGGTGCGGATGTAGAAGGAATCTCCCACGCGGGACTGCACCATCTTCCGGAAGACTGCAGGAGACAGGGAGGTCACACGAGCCATGGGCTGTTGTCTGAGCACAGGATCATGCTCAGGGAGTGGGCTGGCTGGGGTCCTTGGGTCGAGGACATGTGGAGACTAAAAGGCCAAGGAGAGGGAGGAAGGGAGTGCATGCAGCGTTCACACTGGGCCACATGGACAGTTTTATACATGGGTACACCCGCCATGCACACTCACACACACGTGTGCATGTTCATGTACTCTTACACATAGGTGCACACACACATGCACATGTACCAACCCGAGCACCGATGCACCTTGTGCATGTGGAGAAGTGCATAGGTGCTTATGTGTGTGCATATGTGTACATGCACCTGCACACACATACCGACCCTAGGACGGATGCACCTTGTGCATGTGCAGATGTGTATGCATGCTCGTGCGTGCATACATGTACATGCATGTGCACACATGTGTACACACACTCACGCACACGTACCGACCCCAGCACGGAGGCACATTATGCATGTGTAGATATGTATACATGTTCATGCATCTGCATAAGTGTACATGCAGTGTTCACACGTGCACACATACAGACCCTGGCAGAGATCCATCTTGCGTGTGTAGATGTGCATGCATCTCATGTGTATACATACAGGTACACATATAATTCACATGTGCACACACACGGGCACGGGCACACTCACGCACATGTACCAACCCTGATATGGATGCACCTTGCGCATGTGGAGAAGTGCCTGAGTGCTCATGTGTGTGCATAAGTGTACATGCACGTGCACACACGTGTGCACACTCACGCACATGTACCGACCCCAGCACGGATGCCCCTTGTGCATGTGTAGATGTGTATGCATGCTCATGTGTCTGCATACGGGTACATGCAGCGTGCACACGCGCACACATGCACACGTACCGAGCCTGGCACGGATGCACCTTGTGTGTGTGTAGACATGCATACAGGTAATACACATGGAGTACACACGTGTACACATGCACACATACGGACGCTGGCACAGATCCAGCTGTGTGTGTGTGTACGTGCCTGCACGCTCGTGTGCATGCATACAGGTAACACACATGCCATACACATGTCCACACTCACTGTCCTGCTTCCGTTGCATCACCAGCTCCACCTCCTCGCCTGGGGGCAGCCCCAGCAGGAACTGCACAGCCTCCTCTCGAGTCAGGTTCCGGAAGGGCATGTCATTGGCCTGTGGAGAAAGGGGTGCAGGGATGGGACATGGCACTCCTGCTGGGTTCCCAGACCATCCTGGGGACACAGCTGCCCCCAGCTCTACCCGTGACACAGCTGTGACACCACGGTCCTGACAAGGTCATGTCATGGAGAACAAAGCCATGCCATTGATAATACTACAACGTGGACAACCAGGATGTGACCCAGGCGGTGAGGAGACATTTCCGTGGGGTCTGGGTACTCCCTGGTGGTCCAGAGCAAAGCCAGACAGACTGAGAAACAAGATGCACATGCGGGTACAGGGGGGGCCTGGCAGCTCACCTCTAGGATCTGGTCCCCCTCCTGGATGCCCTGCCCATCAGCCGGGCTGCCCGCCTGCACCCCTGACACGAAGATGCCCACGTCGTTGCCTCCGGCCAGACGAAGCCCAATGCTGGTGCCTTTGGGGAAGCGGACCACCCGCACGTCAGGGCTATACCTGTGACGGGAGTCGGATCACATGGATGGGCCAGGGGCCACGTCCTCCTGGGTTGCCTCCATGGGGTGGTCCCGCAAAACAGACTGTGGAACAGTCCACCCAGTGCTGTGTCCCCACAGACACAGTCCCACACAAACACAGTGGGTCCACAGAACACAGTCCCACACACATAGTGGGTCCACAGAACACAGTCCCACACATACACAGTGAATAAACAGACCAATCCCCCTCACAGTGGGCCCACAGAACAATCCCCCTCACACAGTGGGCCCACAGAACAATCCCACTCACACAGTAGGTCCACAGGACACAGTCCCCCTCACACAGTGGGCCCACAGAACAATCC